CTGGAGTGTCTCAAGCAAGGGAGGGACATGATCCAGGTGGCCCTGCAGAACAACTCCTCTGGCTGCTGCGTGGAAGGTGGATGTGAGAGGTTAGGAGACGAACTGCAGTCCAGGGGGAAGGCCATGGCAAGGGAGGGGAGAGATGACGGTGGCTGGTCCAGGGAAGCGGAGATCACAAAAGGTAGTCAAATTCAAGATTCAAGATGTGTTTTAGAGGTAAAAGGGACAGGCCCTGCCAGCTGGCTGGTGGGTATGTGTGGGGGGAGGCGTGGAGGGATGTGAGCAGGAGAGAGGGGATTCAGGGATGCAACGGAAAGCCCCCCGAGACCACAGAGGGGCCAGGCAACCAGATGCTCACAACTTCCTTTCAAAGTGCCCCCAATGGGGGCACTTTTGCCCCATTTTGCAGACCAGGGAGCCAATGCTCAGGCGGGCTGAGTGACTTGTCAAGGTCTTGTCTGGGGCGGAAGCCCAGAACTCTCTGCCTCTCAAACCCTCCCCTCGTGCCTTATACCACCGGTGTCTCAGAGTGCGCATCATTCTAGAGATGAGGAAACAGAGACTGGGCAGAGCTGAAGCCCGCCCAGCCAGCTGTGCCTGTGGCCCTTCCTGCCTGTCTGCAAAAGAGCGCTCCCTTGAGAGGGATCCGTGCTGGGGCCCCACTCGGGCCTGTGTCCTCCTGGGTTTGGATGAACGTCAGGTGTCAGACTCCCAGCCTGCAAAATGCTTTTTAGGAGCCGGTTGCAGCCCCAGGCCCCCAAGACCATCTCCTCCTTATTGGCAACCTACACATCAAAAATGGGCTCTTGGGAACAGGCTACACCCATTCCTTGTTCTGGGCATTTGTCCAGCTTGGGAGAGGAAAGTCCCGTGAGGTCACTATGGAAAGTCTGCCCACGTCAGGGGAAGTCCCAGCCTGGCTCTTCCAGTTGGGGGACCTGGTGCTTGGGGAGCTGAGGGACCTGGAAGGGAGAATCCTGGCATCTCTGCGACCTTAGCCCGTATGGCCACCTCTGCCTGGGGGGAGAGTAACAGGAAGCTGAGCCTCAGTGAAGGCCTCCTTGACATCCATTATTTCCCTTCGTAGCGTTAATAGCACCACGACACGGGTTTTCATTGCCTTCATTTTACAGATGAGGAAAATGAAGCTCAGAGAGGCCAAGTCACTCACCAGAGTCACACTGCTGTCCATGGAGCCTGAACTTTCTAGCTCAATATCGCTTCTTGAGAACTGTTCTGGGCCTAGCATTGTGATAGGTGTTTTCTTTACATTGTCTCAAAAAAAAAAAAAAAAAAAAAAGGCCACGCAGGCTTGCCAACTCAGATGGCAGCCTTTACTCTGACGTGCTATTTTTAGGCCTGTTTTTATGATTGGAGACTTGAAGAGAAAGGGTTGGCTTTTCCCGGCAAGCCAGCCCAAGTGGCATGGCCAAGTTTCTGTGCTTCACGCTCTGGTTTCCTTGGCCTCCGGGGCTTCAGAAACCATCAAGTGCCAGCAGCGAGTCCCTGCCAAGGCTCCGGTTTGGACACCTTGGCCCACTGAGAGTGGGTCCCAGGGTGAAGTGGATGAACCGTCAGCCCCTCTGGAACCGGAGCCAAAGACCGCAGGGTCCACAGTCTCCATGGAGAGAGATGGGCAGACCAGTTTCCCCATTCTGAATGGATGAGGTACACGGTGGTGATCAGAACAGACCAAAGACCAGGAGCTCACTTCCAGGTTCTGTGGCCCGCTTATCATGCCCCCAAACTTTTGGTTACCCTAGAAAGAGAACCCCAGGAATGAGTGCCATGGAGCTCAGGAGGCCTCCCCAGGTGAGGCCATCCATGACCTTTGGTCTTCCCAGGAGCCTCCATCTCTGACCCCCATGCCCAGCCCTCCACACGGGCACATCAGCTCTTTTGTCCATCTGAGCCTCAGGGACCTCTAGACCCTTTCACAGGCCCCATCTACTCTGCCTCTTTAGCTAAAAGGGTTTTGTGTTCTGCTTAGGGCCTGGCCAGCCTGGCCTTTCTCTCCCAGTGCTTCATGCAGCGAACAGGGAGGACACAGTACCTGAGGTCTAGGCTACTGGATATACCCCTGGTCTACTCCTCACGGCCAAGTCCATGTGGGCAGAGTAAACTAGTGCGGTGCTAACTGCTAACCAGGGCTGCTAAAGAGGTTGCCCACCCTGGCTCCTCCCACTCTAGATTCCCCACCCACCACCAAGCCCCCGATGGATCCAGCCCAAAGGCTGTTCCCCATCCTCATTGTAAGAGCCACATTTATCATGAAATATTTTTAACATTTCCTCAGGACCAGATGGTTATCCTCTTGGACCAGAACTTTCTGGGAGCCTCCTGGAATTCAGTTCCACTCTGGCGACAGCTCACTCCCCAAACTCATCTTCCTTCTCTACCTCCCAACCCTGTCTTCTGCTCCCAGCCTCCCAGTTTTTCTTTGCGGAACAAGCCCCTCCCCACTCTCCTTCCCAGCAGTTCAGGTGAGGCTGATTCCACTCCCCAACCGTAGGAAATGGGCATGTGACTCAGGCCGGACCAATCAGTCAGTTCCACTCACTTAGTCACTCAGCGATTGGTTCAGAAATGAGGACTTGAGTCCAGTTGGCCCAATGGGAGTCTGGCCGAGGAAACTTAAAGAGAAGCTAAGTGTTGGGGGGTCAGACGGCAGAGCTAGTAGAGGAAAGCCTGAGGCTCGTGGTGGCCGTGTTTGCAATGCCATCCGAAGCCTGCTGAGAAAAAGAGCTGGAAAATACAGAACATCAGACCTGTGAGGATATTGACATCACTGGAACTCCTGGATGTCAGTGTGCCTAAAACCATCTAGCTGGGTCTTTTCAGTTTCACAAGCCAATGCTCTTTTTGATTTAAGACAGTTTACTGTGAACTTCAGCCACATGTCACCTGAGGGCCAACACAGCAGTCAGGAGCTGGCTACTGAGCATTTGAAATAATGAAGATGAGTTGTAGGCACAATATACAAACTGGATTTCAAAGGAAGTATGACAATTAAAATGTAAGCGATTCTATTATTCATTTTGCATATTGAGGACATCTGGAAGTAATAATGCTTTGGCTGTGTTGCATCAGGTAAAATGTATAGTTAAAATTAATTTCATCTGTTTCCGTATACTTTCCAATGTTGTTACTAGAAACAGTTATATATGTGGTTTGTATTATATTGTGTATTTTAATCTTTTACTTTTAATTGATGTTTAGGAAGAGGAAGGGAGAAAGAGAAACACCATTTTTTTTTATTTACCTATGCATTCATTGGTTGATTCTGTATGTGCCCTGACCAGGGCTTGAACCCACAAACTTGGCATGAAGGGACAATGCTCTAATGAACTGAGCTACCTGGCCAGGGAAATGCCTGGTTTGTACTTTGATTGTATAGTGTGGGCCCTGATGGCTTGGCTGTAAACCATCAGGAGCAAAAGAGCAAAGCTCACCCAATGAAATAAGCAGTCCCACCAGAAAAGAACTCCAGCATTGTCAAAGAGGGGAGGGCTTGCTGGAAAAGGTGGGCAAAGAAGAACAGGCCTGATCCGCAGGGGTGGACAGGAAGGGGGTGGCATTCCAGGCAGGGACACCGCAGGAACACAGGCCTGGGAGTGGGGCTGAGTGGACATGGGTCTGAGAACCGAGGATGCTACAGAGGAGCCTCTAGGGTTAAGCTGGGCCATCGATTTCTGCAGGGAAGCTGGGGATCTCGGGGAGAGGGCGGTACAAAGGGACGAACACTCCACTTTCCCGAAGCCTTCACTCATTTTCTGCGCGCAGCCTGAGGGCCCAGCCTGCAGCTGTTTCCTCTGCTGTGCAGAGTCGGATCTGGTCCCTGAGATGCTGGAAGTCGGCACTGCCGTCTCTGTGCAACACCTGAGCCCACCCAAATGGGGCTTCTGAGGAGGAGGAGGGTGGCCTGAATACTGGGAGCGGCCGAATCTAACAGCTACCGGACTTTCCCACTCACACAGAATCAGAGCTTCAACATTTCCTCCGGAAATTCTCTCACCCTCAAATAACTCCCAGTTTTCTGAACTCTCGATGTGCCTTCTGGGCTCCAGAGCCTGAAAAACCCAGCTTTGTTTTTGGTGCTGGGAAACTCCAGCAAAGGACATGCCAACAGGGGCCAACAGGTGACAGGTTGTCTCTTTGAGTTCACATAGGTCATCGCTGACTAGTACAAAATTAGGGTGCCCAGGCCCCCTGACAGAGACATCCTGGGGAGCCAGGCTCCCCCAGTTCACTGCTCCTGCGACACCAAAGAAAAAGTCAGGAGAACTTTTCAGAAACAACAAGGAGGAGCATTCCTGACGCATCCTTTGTTCTTCAAAGGTCTCAGCAGCCACACAGACCAAGTGTCCTGGTTTATCAAGCCTCCCATAGAGGAGAGAGTTGAATGCAGTATATATATATATTTTAGGCCAGGCAGTCTGAAGAAGATTCAACATTGCAGAAGGAACTCCATACCTTCACTTCAGCTCTCTGGACACCCCTAACCCTAAGAAGGTGACCTCCAGCCTGGGTCAGCGCACCTGTCTGCACCAGAACTCTCAGCATGGTGTGTGGTTGCATACAAGTGTGTGTGTGCATGTGCGTGTGCGTGATTCTCACGCCGCATGGGCTCCCAGCAGACCCCACGCTCCACGGGGGCAGGACCTGCCTGAGCTCCTCATTCCCCACTGATCCCAGCACTGGCACCTTGTAGGCACTCTGGCGATGCTTATTCACTGAGAAAATGAATGGATAAACCCCAAATTCCCAGTGTCCTTTCTCCAGATATTGACAGCACCCCAGCCAAAGACCTCAGTCCCTGTGCTCTGCTCCCTGAGATTACATTTTGGCTAGACAGTTCTCCCCTAGTTAACCGAGGAAGCGAGGAACTTATTCTTTTCCCTGCCTACTCAGCTTATTTATTCATTATTATTATTTTTTTATCCTCACCCAAGGATGTTAATTGACTTCAGAGAGAGAAGGAAAGAGACAGACAGAAACATCCACGTGAAACAGAGACAGAGTCCAACTGCCTCCCATAGGTGCCCTGACCAGGGATCGACCCGCAACCTAGGTATGTGCCCTGACTGGGGGATTGAACCTGCAACCTTTTGGTGCACAGGACAATATTCCAACCAATGGAGCCACCTGTCCAGGGCCCACTCATCTTTTTGATTGGCCCACCCTGCACCAGCCCTGGGGACCCCAAGTAGGTCTGGGGGGCAGGAATGTGTGTTTTCATTATGCTTGGGCCACACTTAAGGGAGAGTCTGGAGTCAGACTGACGTGCAAGTTTCCATTCTCTGAGAGCTACTGGGGGAAACTGAGGCAAGAGATTTGGAAAGATTCAGTGAAGATGAGCAGTAAGGGAGCATGAAGGTCACAGGGGCCGGAGTGAGAGTCAGGGCTGGGCCTCCACTTTAGAGTCGGGATTTTTATCTTCCAGCGAACGTCCCCTTCAAGACACCTGCACACTTCAACCTCAGGAGCCAGTAATCTTCACCAAATCTCCAGGAGGTCCCGGGGCTGCGGCAGTGAGGACAGGAACCTCAGAACTCTTCTGCCTTAGAAACTTGGCCAGATGGGGAAGGGCACAGAGACAGCGGGCCCAGGCTTGGCTGGGAGATGGTAGATGGTGGCAGAATCCACAGCAACTGGAATGAGATCGCACAGGGAGGGGGTGTGGCCTCTCTGAGGTTGAGAGAGGAATCTGGTGGAGACAGGACAAGTGCTGGTGTCTGTGCCTATGGGTGTATAGAAGCTGGGTCTCTGCAAGTGAGGACATATGTGTATGTGTCTCCAGTGTGTTTCTGCACATTGCACATGAGTGATCAAGTATGCGGGAGTGCGTATGTTGGTTTGGAGATGGCTGCGTGTGCATGGGGGTGAGGGCAGCCCACGGGGCCAGTGTGTGCGTGTGTACGGGGTATTTCTGTGTGGCTGGGTGCATGTAAGTGTGATGTGTTGTGTGTCTGTGCTGGACAGGAGATAGAGCAGAGAAGGACTGTAAGCTGAGGATGGAGCCACTCAGAGCTGACACTCCTCCTAGACTCGCGGACATTGGTGGACATGAGGGTGGGAGAGTCAAGTTCAAATCCCAGATTTGCCACTTTCCAGCTGTGTGGCCTCAACAGTCTCTCCCCCTTCCCAGGGCTCAGTTTTCTCAGCTACAGAAAGGGCATCATTACCTTGACTGCTCCCAGGGTCGACCTGGAGATGACCCTGGGAAGGTGCCCAGAACCCTGTTCACTCTGGGGAGAGGGAATGAGATAGGAGTTCCCAACTCTCTGCGGTCCTGGAATTTCTCATCACAAGCATGTATATCACAATGATCATAAAGAAGATATTAGGAGAAGGCATTCGTGCTCTGGAACCCTCCCTGGGTGCCCTTGGTTCTGCTGGGGGATGACCATGGTGCACACGGCCAGGCGTGAGGTTATTTGCCAGGGGTTGGGACTGAGGCTGGGCAGGCTCTGCCCCTTCCCCAGGAGCCGGCTGAGGTTGTCACTGCCTAACTTTAAGATCCAAAAGACACTGCCTCAAGGAAGCCTCCCGGTTTACATTTCTGGCCAAGGAGAATGGAGCCCAAGCCCTCGGCCCAGAGAAACGTGAACAAATCACCTGCCAGAATAGCTCTGAGCAGACCTAAGGGTTAAGTTAAATGGAAACTTGCCTTTCTCGGCGCCTGTCGTTCCCTCCCTGTTATTTTTGTTTTTTTTCAGTGCCAGGTCTTTTCCAATGAATCACAGGAGCCATTATCAGAAGTTGCCGCCCGTGAGCAGAGAGGATTTCACTTTCCTTTTGCATCCCCCCTTCTCCTCTCCCGCAGGCATCCGGAAGTCTACGGCCAGAGATCCTGCCCATTGTTGTTTGTCCCTTTGAACCTCAGCGAGTTCAAAGGCAACCAGAGCCGAGGCCAGTTTTATACTTGTTTCTCCAGGTCACCAGTTCGTTACAGAGGACATTAAAAGGGACAAATCCACACTCAGACCAGAGATGCCTGGGAGCAGGTCGGGCACTGAGGAGCGCCTCTCCCTGCGGAGTTTCGGGCTGGGCACCGTGGCCCGTGGAAGCTCCTCAATTTTGGGCGGGGGGGGGGGGGTCCCAGAGGCTTCATTGCTCAGGTGTGATTGATTAACGCCCCAGCCCTGGGCGATTGATCTGACCTCCGTCCCTTCTCTCCCCGGAAATCAGGCTGCGGGACCCTCTGTTCAGGGCTGGTTCCCTGGCAACCGCAGCCACTCCCTAGGTGCTTTCCGAAAACTACCCCTGAACCCAGTTGTGGTAGAAAGGGACTCCCCCACCCCACCTTTATGGCTCTGAAGGGTTTTCAGGAACTAAAGACAAGAAGTCAAATATAACAAAACATGTTTCCATTGCTCTTATCACTCAGGAAATCCAAAGGGTTTGAAGTGGTGGGAGCCAGGAAATGAGGATGAAGACCAAATAAATACAGGTGACAAATAGAATTGGGTCATCCGAATGACTTTGGATCCTGAGGTTATAACACTTTTATGTGAGGAATTTTAAATATACCAAAATGCAAATTTCAATGTACCCTTGAAACACTTTTGACATCATATGTCTAAAAAAGTTTTATTAACAGGCTTTTACATTTACATAATTCTACTTTAAATGGCACGAAAGACTCACTAGGGAAACACTTTCCTCGCACCCCTGCCCCCAGTGTCCTTCCCAGGAGGCTCCCCTGTCCCCCGAGGCTCGGGCCCATCCTCTTCCCAGCCTAGAGGAGCACGGGCACCTGAGTCCTCCTGGTGCCTCCTCTTCTATGCCCCTCCCCCCCAACAGTAGCTCTCAGTGGTGGTTTGCAGGAGTCCCCGGAGGCCTGCAGGAGTCCCCGGAGGCCTGCAGAACCTGTGTATTTTACAGAAGGGTAAACAGAGGCCCAGAATGGTCTAGAACTCACAGTCCAGGGGCTCACTTTTCAAGTTGGAGGGTGAAATCCCCGGAACAAACTGTCCCTGCTTTAGACATATTATTTAAACAAACAAACTCGGAATGAAATAGAAATCAAACCAAGAGCTGTTTGTTTGACCAGCCCCTGGGCTTCTCAGAAGGAGAGGAAATGGGAGCCTCCTAAATGCACACTGAACAGCAGCTGCCTGGCCCTCTCCCGCGACCCCTGGGGGGTGTCTTTGGGCCAGCGCCCACCTCTGTCACAGAGGGCTGCCTTCCAGCCCAAAGCGGGGCCAGGTCTGTTGACCCCTTCCAGCTGTGTGGCATTACATTAGGCAGGCCACTTGCCCCTCCGGGTCTCCAGGGCCTTGCTCTTTGGGGCTCCTCTTCTCCAAAGAGCTCTCTGCGCCTCATCAGCTGGGAGCTGTGGCTCCCTCTCCTGCGTTCCTGAAAGACATGATTTATGACCCCGCTTCATGCCTGCCTCCCCTCCCCCCCCCACCGTGTCCTCCTCTCACCCTTGAAGTAATCTTTAATTAATAGATCATGTATGATGTTCAAGGTCCATGCCCTGGCCTCCTCATGCTTCGGAGTCTCAAAGCAGTACTGACAGGTACGGAGAACCTGGACTCACTTCACACATAAGGAAACTGAGGCTGGGACAAATCCAAGAACTTCCCGCTGGTCGCCTGGCGGGTTGGTGTTGAAGAAAGCACGCCAGGCCAGCTTGGCTGACTGCAGAGTCCCTGGGGTGGCCCACCGCTCCCTTGGGCCTTGATTTTAGAGGGTGAAGTGAGACAAGTTCACACCAGTCCCTAGACGAGGAGGCAGGGTGTGGAGACGGGGGAGGGGGAGTGACTGCCTGCAGCATGAGGCTCAGGGGTGGGGCTGAAAGTGCAACATTTCCTTAAGCTTTGAGATTTTTTTTAAAAGAATAATTACTTTTTTATTTTGATTTTTATAATTTTTGATTCTTTATTTTTTAAAATATTTTATTTATTTATTTTTAGAGAGAGGGGAAGGGAAGGAGAAAGAGTGGGAGAGAAACATCAATGTGTGGTTGCTGTTTCCTCTCATGTGTCCCCTACTGGGAACCTGGCCTGCAACCCAGGCATGTGCCCTCACTGGGAATTGAACCAGCGACCCTTTGTTTCACAGGCCCATGCTCAATCCACTGAGCTACACCAGCCAGGGTGATTCTTTATTGTTTTAGAGAGACAGGGAGGGGGGAGATAAAGAGAGGGAGGGAAACATTGATGTGAGAAATCTCAATTAGGTGTCTTCCATACGTGTCCTGACCTAGGACCAAACCTGTGAACCAAGGACCCTTCGATTTGCAGGAAGATGCCCAATCGACTGAGCCACGTGGACCAGGGCAGAGCTTTTGGAATTTTTAAAATATATATTTTATTGATTATGCTATTACAGTTGTCCCATTCCCCCCCCTATTTCCCACTGCCCTGCACACCCCCTCCCACCCTCATCCCCTGCCTTTAGTTCATGTCCATGGGTCGTATATATAAATTCTTTGGCTTCTACATTTCCTACACTATTCTTAATCTTCCCCATCTTCTACCTACCATTTATGCTACTTATTTTCTGTACCTTCCCCCCTCACCCTCTCCCTCCCCAGATAACCCTCCATGTGATCTCCATTTCCATGATTCTGTTCCTATTCTAGTTGTTTGCTTAGTTTGCTTTTGTTTTAGGTTCAGTTGTTAATAGTTGTGAGTTTGCTGTCACATTATTGTTCATATTTTTATCTTCCTTTTCTTAGATAAGTTCCTTTAACATTTCACATAATAAGGGCTGGGTGATGATGAACTCTTTTAACTTGACTTTATCTGGGAAGCACTTCATCTGCCCTTTCATTCTAAATGATAATTTTGCTGGATAGAGTAATCTTGGATATGGGTCCTTGCCTTTCATGACTTGGAATATTTCTCTTTCCAGCCCCTTCTTGCCTGCAAGGTCTCTTTTGAGAAATCAGCTGACAGTCTTATGGGCACACCTTTGTAGGAAACTGTCTCCTTTTCTCTTGCTGCCTTTAAGATTCTCTCCTTATCTTTAATGTTGGGTGATATAATTATGATGTGCCTTGGTGTATTTCTTCTTGGTCCCACCTTCTTTGGGACTCTCTGAGCTTCCTAGACTTCCTAGATGTCTATTTCCTTTGTCAGATTGGGGAAGTTCTCCTTCATTATTTGTTTTTTTTTTTTTTTTTGAATATTTTAATTAAATTTATTTATTTTTTGAATTGATTATGCTGTTACAGTTGTTCTATTCCCCCCTCCATTTCCCTCCACCCTGCCCCCCCAACCCCACCCTTACCCCCCCTTTAGTTTATGTCCATGTGTCTCAAGTCCTTTAGGTTCTATATTTCCCAAACTATTCTTGCCCCCCCCATCTATTTTCTATCTACTGTCTATGCTACCTGTTTTCTGTACCTTCTCCCCCCTCTCCTCCTCCCATTCCCCTGTTGCTAACCCTCCTTGAGATCTTCATTTCTGTTTCCACTCCTGCTCTAGCTGTCCTTTTAGTTTGCTTTCGTTTTAGGTGTGGTTGTTAATAACTGTGGGTTTGTTGTCCTTTCACTGTTCATGTTTCTTTATCTTCTTTTTCTTAGATAAGTCCCTTTAACATTTCATATAATAAGGGCTTGGTGATGATGAACTCCTTGAATTTGGTCTTATCTGAGAAGCACCTTATCTGTCCTTCCGTTCTAAATGAAAGTTTTGCTGGGTAGAGCAATCTTGGTTGTAGGTTTTTAGATTTCATGACTTGGAATATTTCTTTCCAGCCCCTTCTTGCCTGTAAGGTCTCTTTTGAGAAATCTGCTGACAGCCTGATGGGGACTCCTTTGTAGGTGACTGTCCCCTTAGCTCTTGCTGCTTCCAGGATTCTTTCCTTCATTTTAATTTTGGCTAATGTAATTATAATATGCCTTGGTGTGTTTCTTCTTGAGTCCAACTTTTTTGGTACTCTCTGGGCTTCTTGGATTTCTTGGAAGTCTATTTCCTTTGCCAGATTGGGGAAATTTTCTTTTATTATTTGTTCAAATAGTTTTTCCACTGGTGGTTGTGTCTTTCCCCCTTCTGGTACCCCTATAATTCGGATATTGGAGCGTTTAAAGATGTCCTGGAGGTTCCTAAGACTCTCCTCATTTCTTTGAATTCTTGCTCCTTGACTCTTTTCTGCTTGTCCATTATTTGCTTTCTTCTGGACCCTTGCATTGATTTGAGTCCCAGTTTCCTTTTCATCTCTATGGGATTCCTGTGGAATTCCATTCATTTCCCTTAATTTAGCCTCCATATGTTTCTCTAATTTGTGGCTGTAATCCACCAAATCTGTGAGAAAGGTGATGACCAGTGTTTTAAACTGTGCATCTGAGAGTTTTGCTATTTCTTCGTCATTTAGATTTATCTCTGGGGCTTTGAGTTCTGCCTGCGACATTTTTGGTCTGTTCTGGCCCTTTAAGTGGGACAAGCGGCGCCTTGGAGTCCCAGGTCGCTGGGTTGTGACGCTGTATGTGGGGGTGTGGTCAGAGCGGGAAATGGCCGCCGCCGCCGCCGCCGCCGCCGCCGCCGCCGCCGCCGCCGCCGCCGCCGCCTGCCGCCCGCCGCCGCCGCCGCCGCCGCCGCCGCCGCCGGGCTGGTCCAACCGCTTACTCCCTCACTCGCGCACAGCCAGAGTCAATTCGTTGCCACCGCCTCCCCACTGTGTCGCTCCCCCGATGGGCTGCTCGGCGGCTCACCAGGACCAATCCTGGGTTTGGGACCCGCGTAACTGGATTCGCGCGCCGATTCCGCGCCGGTCCGACCGAGCCCTCCTTTGTAAGTCCTCACCGGACACTGGTTTCGCACCTTACCGGTCAGGCTGAAGAATTTGTTGTTAGCGGACTTCCGAAAAGTTCAGTTTTCCGTGTTCTGGTTGTGTTTTGTGATGCTAATATTTAGTTGTCCCTAAACTTGGTTGTGTGAGGAGGCAGGCACATCCAGCTAAACCTCCATCTTGGCGGAAGTCTCCTTCATTATTTGTTCAAATAAGTTTTCAATTTGCTGTTCTTCCTCTTTTCCTTCTGGCACCCCTATGATTTGGATGTTTGAAGATTTAAAGTTGTTCTGCAGGTTCCTAAGCCTCTCCTCATTTTTTAAAATTCTTATTTCTTTATTCTGTGCTGGTTGAATGTTTCTTTCTTCCTTCTGGTCCACACCATTGATCTGAGTCCCAGTTTCCTTCCTGTCACTGTTGGTTCCCTGTACATTTTCCTTTATTTCACTTTTCATAGCCTTCATTTTTTCCTCTAATTTGCGACCATATTCAGCCAATTCTGTGAGCATCCTGATTACTAGTGTTTTGAACTGTGCATCTGATAGGTTGGCTATCTCTTCGTCGCTTAGTTGTATTTTTTCTGGAGCTTTGATCTGTTCTTCCGTTTGGGCCATTTTTTTTTGTCTTGATGCACCTGTTACGTCAAGTGAGGGGTGGAGCCTTAGGTGTTCACGAGGGCAGAACAACTCACGTGGCTGTGTTGTGATGCTATTTGTGGGACAGGGGTCC